AGAATGAAAGATAGAAAATAATTAAAATTTTATTAAAATGCATCACGCAAAGAAAGTCTGGGAAGAGAATATATTCAAAAATTAAATTTTAAAAATTAAACATATTTAATGTTCCGTCTCAATTCAATTCGAATCCTTTGACTTCATATTGTGCTCATCTATAATTTTGCAAGTCTTTATTTACGTAAAGCATTTTAAGCGAATTTAAAAACGGTTCGTTTAAACTCTTTTAAGTTGTTTTTTTTTTTTTAAATCTCTATATATATTTGCTTCTGGTGTGGCTGCTGCCCTTTTCACAACAACCCCCACCCAAACTCAACATGTGGCATATTAATAGTACTGAGTGAGAAAAAGCTGTAAGGCAGCGAGCGTCCTGCGTGATGGTTGAACCCTGGTAAGAAGTTGGAATTTTTCGGAGGTGACTTTTATATTACTCAAGGCAGTACCACGGGTATGGTGTAATGACTGTTCGTAGGAACATCTGTAGGCCTAATGTTTAAGAGCTAGCAGGTAGGGTATAATGGCTATATGAATGCCTGTATGCCAAGTGTTTGAAGTACGGCATATTTCATGGAATATGAGACGTTAACTTTTTTTTTGATCCCTCGGGCACACGTGGTGTTACCCCAAAATACACGGACTGGGTGTGAGGGACTGCCACTGTTTAAGCCAGGACTGCACAACTCAAAATGTAAGGCGGGCCATAATACTTCATGAAAAACGTGTGCGGGCCGAAAGAAAATAGGACAGGGGTGGTGTAGCTGTTCAGAAATTAATTAAAATAAAGAAAATTTCGTTGCTTACTAAGTAAATTTAATGTGAAACAATGCATCGTTTTTTGGGTTACCAGTTTGTCGTATTCAGGAGATATATTGGAAGTGGCTGTTCTCAAGATGTCTTCCAAATGATCATCAGTCAAACATGAGCGGTGCTTGCGTTTATTGTTGTTCATTATTGAAAATGTCTGTTCACATCTATAACTGGTTCCAAACACACTCAAAGTTTTTAGTGCAACTTCGTAAAAAATTTTTTTTTTACTTCTCACGGTCCCGATTTGTATAAAAACTCCTGCAGGCTGCTCTTTCTGTGCTTGCTTCGGTATATTGCCGAACATTGTAGTTCGATAATTTCCAGGTGCGATTGAACTCGTATATATTCGAGATTCACATAAAATGGATCTTCAATTAGTTCAAACTGAATTTCTTCTTCTTTAGAAAGAGTGAGTCTTTTATTAAATTCTTATATCAAAAGATTAATTTCATTAGCAAGTTGTTTTCTCAGCTCCACGTGTTTGTCCTGAGGAATATGCTGTGCACAAGAGGAGAAGTGATTCATTTCATCATTTAGTAACTGGGTTTTGAAAAGTTTCACTTTCAGTTAAAAAGGTTTTACTGCATCAAACATTTCAAATACAAGTTGCTTCTTACATTGAAGTTGAAGGTTAAGGCCATTTAGATGTGCTGAATAGGTCGTGATTCAAGGACTCATCTTCAAGCTCAGGGAATTCCTTTGCTTCGTCATCTATGAATTTAGATATTTCCTTCTTCAAAGCAACGAATCGCTGAAGCACTTTCCCTCGGCTTAACCATCTCACTTCAGCATGGTATAGTAAGTCTCTGAAGTCGGCATCTATATCGTCAAGAAAAGCTTGAAAAGCCCGATGTTTGAGTCCTCTTGATCTTATATGGTTGACTATTTGAAAACAACCGACATAACATGTTCTAAATGTAACAATTGGCTACACAAGACCTGCACATGTATAATGTAATGATATTTTGTTATTTGCCTTCAGATAAAATGTTCAAGAGGCGCTGACTTTTTAATACCCGTCATATTCCGGGCACCGTCGGTACAAATGGCCACTTATTAATACCCGTCATATTCCGGGCACCGTCGGTACAAATGGCCACTTATTAATACCCGTCATATTCCGGGCACCGTCGGTACAAACGGTCACTAATTTTATAAAATCTAATTCCAACTTATCTTTCAAGCACTTTATCCTTTCATTGATGATATTATCTCCGGTTGTGTGACCTGACGAGGAGCACTTTCCAGCGACTTCTTCGGTAACTTCAGATTTCGTCCACACCTCTAATGTAAATGAGAAGTTGGGTGGTGTCTTTTAAATCTGTGCTTTCGTCCATAGCTAGAGAATAGAAAGAAAATTCTCAAGCTTTCTGCATTAAGTGTTCTTGAAGATTGGTGGAAATATCAGTTATTCTTCTTTGCACTGTCATTCGCGATAAACTGATGTTTTGAAATAACACTGGTTTTTTTTTACGGACATAATTCAGACGTGCCAACAAGCATGCACTACTTTACTAATTCGCCTTCAGTCAAGGATTTCCCAGCAGTAGCAAGTTCCCTTGAAATACAAAAGCTTATCTTGGTAGCAGTCTTATTTTCACTGCTCTTTTTCTTGAAAAATGTCTACTCTCCAATAAGTGTTTTCGAAAAATTCGTTGCTTTAGTCGAATTTTCATTTTGGTCCAATTTTAACAAATTACGATTTACGATATTTATATTCAAAATGCCGTCGAAGATTATCTTATGTATCTCTAGTCTAGTCTCCTCTTTCTCTTTGATTCATGGCGATCAAATATTTCAAGTACACGTCCATCAAGATATTACTGTACTAAAAGTACAAAATATCAAAATAACGCGATACTTGAGTTCAACACAATACAACTCTACACAATATTACAAAAATGGTAAAAGGCTACTCTGCACAGAAGACATTAGTTTTGAACACACTTACGCTACCTAGTAGGTTATGTTGATTGAGACTAATTGAACACGGTGAACCGTAATCAATTTCACTGGAGGAAGAGGAAGTGCTCGGGAAAAGCGTGAGTGTGTGATTTAATATTGCCACCGGGAAAGAAAACGTGTAATGAAATATTTACACCACGATAAAAAAAAAAATTAGTAGATCTAATTTAATTTGATTAAATAAAACAATTTATTTCATTTAAGTATACGTGGGGAAATTTATTTTTTAATTGTTACTATTTAAAATTGAAATAACCATTTATAGCATTATATTGTGTATAGTTACCTATCGTAATATTAAAATCAATAAGCTAGGCAAAATGAATTTATAATATTATGATTTTTCCCCTAAGCATTCGCAGGCCACAAGGTGGGTGCTCGCGGGCCCCCATGCGACCCGCTGGCTGTATGTTGGGCACAGTGGCGACGCTACACCAGGGCCCGCCGGGTCCCAGGACCTGGTAAAAAAATTTGGGACCCGGCAAATGACCTTGTAAATTTTTATTAGTTGCTAATATTGTATATATGCTCATTAGGCGTAAACCACATTACATGTAAGAGAACTTCCATTTTAAATGCCTTTATATGTTTAAATTTTTATTTTTAATACATTTATTTGGGACCCGCCAAATTTTTTTAAGACCTGCAAGGGACCCGCCATGTTAAATTTGATGGCGTCGCCACTGGTTGTGCAGGCCTAGGTTATGCCATAGTCTACTAGGTTTTGAGCTTTCATTTTTCTTCCCTTTGATCAAAGGATACAAAAATATATTACCTTAATAATTTATGTCCAAAATTAATCAAAATATTGATAGTTAAACTGTAATTTTTAAAAATTGACTCAATAAATAGAATGCTTTTAATATTCACATATTAAAACTTAATATGTCTCAAACTTTATTATTCGTTATTACAATTATTATTTTAAAATAAAAGAAATAACTATTTAAATTTTTCAAAAATTTATTTTTGGTACGCTTTTGCTCTTTATAAAATAACAATTGCTAAAGATGTGTTTCCCTTTAAAGATTTAGAAGAGATTTAAATTTTAAAATAATAATAAGTAGTCTCCCCTTAAAAAAATTAAATGTGAATATCTAATTTATAAATTTAAAGAAAAGTAATTGAGCAAAACAGCAAAAAAAACTTTTCTAACACTATACAAAACTGAATATCGAAACTAAGAAACGGAGGATTTTATAAGTTTTTGTTACGACCATTGCAATCTTGCATGAGACTTGCTCTTTACACCCCACCCTATATTATGTTTGCATTTTAAAAAAAAACGGGGAGACGTTGGGGAGGGGGGAGGGGGAGTGCTGAGTGCATCACCTTTATAGAAAGGGATTAACCAATTTATATTTCTATTAAGTATTCGTTTGATCAGTTTCTGACTACAGTATTACCCACATAGACCTTCACGAACTCACATACACACAAAGAGTGAGAGAAAGAGAGTGAAAAATGCACAGACGAGGAGAGATCGAGAGATAGAAAGATCGACAGAGACAGAAAGGGGAGATGATCGGCCAAAGAGAGAGAGAGAGAGAGAGAGAGACAGACAGAGACAGACCGACAGAGAAACTCGGAACAAAATTTAAAGAATGATTTCACACACAATAAATGCATTAACGGAATTAGTTACCCTATAGCAATGGACTATTTTCGTATATAGTATTGTTTGATAATGAAGCAAATAACATATTTGTGGGCCTGAGGAGGGGGGAGAGAACTGTCCTAACATTCTAACCCCTCCCCCCCCCAATCCCCGTCTCCTCTAGTGGTGTATGAAGGTGTTATACAGGGCAGGGGCGTGCGCACCGGTAGACCATTTTCTACTTTATACTGAATGCTTGGCATTTAATGCCACCTACAGAAAGGTTGGGGGGGGGGAAGCTTGGGCTGCCCCGGTCATCATTAACCTAGCTACGCCACAGGCCTTCCCTTTCTTACACCCCCCCCCACCATTTTTCCAAATAAGCATGTACACTACCTGCAGAAGTATTGACCAATGCACACCTGTTTCATCTCTGGATTGATTCATTATTAACGTCAACTACCAACGTTGTCTTCAGCCATTGAACTCATAAATATCTGTTATCGTGATCATCATCGATCTCTAGCTTACCTGTTCCCTCCCCACCCCTTAAGATCGACCCCCAGGATCACCCCCTCCCCACCCCCACCCTAAAGATCGACCCTCTTCGTAATTTATTCGATTATGATTTTATTATCGCTATCATCGGAGACGGTTTGTTAGCCGTGCCTGTATTAGGAGGAGAACAATCAAAACGGACTGTTGTTTGTGATGTCCGGTGTGATGGTTTCTGTGAAAAGTCTTTTACACGTGTTAACAAATATCTAGATGTGTTTAATTCAACATGTGTAGGTAGAAGGACCATTAAGTTTGTGTTATTCTAAAGGGTGATAAGGATTTTTTTTCTTTTTTCTGTTTTACCCTTTTTCAAGACAGTTTAACATAATGTAAAACGGTGAGAATGGAACGCGTCAAACTCTCAACTTTGTTTTTGGACTTATATTCATTCGTTTTATGAATTATCGCAAATGTTATGTTGCAATGCACGAGTTCAATGAGTTACACATAGTAGAATTGGGAATATCCAAATCTTCCGCTGGCTCACCGCAAATCGGTGACACATTCTTTCTTATGATAGTGTGTCAATAGATTAAAACGACAAACTGCTTCGTTAAATTTTCACATTGGGAAATTAAAATTTAAACCATTCATTCGGAATTTACAAGGTGCGATCCAGCAACTTGTGTAATTATGAAAACCAACGAAGGTAGATGCATCCGTCTTGTCCTTATATGGATGGCTTTGGTGTTGTGTGTTTACTTCTACGATCTCCACGGCCGAAGAAAGTCCACGGAGGAGGGCGCCGTACCCATCAATGCGGTGACGAAAACATCCGGCGGATGGCGGAGGCGAGATGATGGAGGAGCAGAGAGGGAACACGAGGACGACAACATTGTGATAGAAGAGAACCTAGCTGTCATCAAGGACGCAGACGGTAGTCATGGCAACGTGGATCCGGAGATCGAGCTCCAAGAAGACGTCCTGCCGGAAAGTTTGGAGGTTTCGGAAAATCAAAACGATATCTTGCTGCTAAGCAACAGAAATGGCGAAGCCGCAAGTGATATTCATAACCATGACGGGGCCTCCGTTGATGCTGAAAATGGCGTAAGGGGCATCCAAAACAGAATGTTGTATTTTAGAGATCCGAAAGAATTGGGTAAGAATGACGAAACAAAGGAAAAAGGCCCCAAGGGGAGTAACGTCAATGTTGCTGTTCATACAAAGTCAGAGTTGTCTGACCCTAAGAAAAGCGCAAACTCTTTAGGTGCGGTTGCTAGGTTGAGAGTGGCCCCAGAAAACATTTCGACCAATGTAGATTTCAAAACATTGACAGACAACTTAGACCCGTCGTCAAATAAAGTGGACGAAGTGGTTTCGTTAGAAGACGGCGCACAAGGAGCACCAAAAGGGATACCATCAATAGACACAGTCACTCCTATGATGCGGATCAGGTCCAAGCACCGTCCTTGGACCATAAGTGAGATGGGAAAGTATAGTCGATCGCTGTTCACGCCCCCTCCACACGAAGCACCTGTGCAACGGTTCCCAAAGGTGGGATTCACTGATATTTTTATCTCATAAATGTTCATTGTTGGCAATTCTATAATATCCCATTTGAAGCCAATCTTAGAGCTGCATTTGGTGAACAGTAAGAATGCCACAAAATTGCTTTAAAAAATTACGTGCTAAAACAAACATTATTCTTATTATTTAAATCGTAAAAATTTGTCTTTCAAATGAATGATACCCTACAGCATTGTTAATTGAATCGTTGATTAGAAAAGTTTTAAGGCAATTATTTAATTTTTTTAACAGATTTAACAATATTTACCTATGAACTATTTCAGGGAAAGTTTAAAGATGTCAAAATGTGTTAAGTTTTAATCATCATTTTATAGAGAATCAGAAAGTGTAGACAACGGGATCGGGCGACTTTGACCTCCTTCACTTTGGTAAAAAAAAATATATAAAAAAATCTGTGACACCACAGTGGCTTGCATGACTTAATGATGTAGCTCCCATTGTTTTATGTACGTCTGTGATCACAGGCGTATTGATTTAGGTATCGATCACGTCGCGATTGGTGGTGTGTGTGCTTGTGTCCAGCTCGCAACTTAATGTAAGATTTCCTGCTTTAGAATTTATCATCACAGTCCTCCTCGATATGAGGCAATAAGCGGATGAAATCGCCTCTTTAAACAAGTAAAGTATGTGGCTTAAACCAAAACAAAAATCCCCTTATTACGACAAAAACCGGATAAGAAAAACTTGAATGATGGAGTCTTAGATGTTCAAATAACACTACATCAATTTGAAGTCATTGACTTTCAAACGCCCCCCCCCCCCTTTCCACAGAATCTATAAATAGCTTCTTTTTTTTTTTTTTTTTTTTTTTTTTTTTTTTTTTTTTTTTTTTTTTTTTTTTTTGCGTCTTATGTCCGCCAGGCTATAATTATTGGTGCTGGGAAATGTGGTACACGCGCCCTCCTGGAATTCCTACGGATGCACCCTTACATTGCGGCGGCCAATTCCGAGGTTCATTTCTTTGACCTGGACGTGAACTTTCGTAAGGGATTGGACTGGTACAAGGCTCAGATGCCGTTGTCTTACAGTAATCAGGTGAGACTTACCGTAATAAGATGAGTGTTGCAGGAATCGGGTGAGTCTTTCGGCAAACATATGGGTCTTACAGCAATCTTGTCAGTCTTTCGGTAATCAGATGGGTCTTACAGTTATCAGGTGAGTCTTATAGTTAATAGGACTATCTTACTGAAACCACAAGAGTTTTTCAGCCTAATGTACGGCCTTTTGAGTATCATTCAGTTCATCAGCTGTTTGACTAAGCCTTGTCCCGTAATAAGCATATAAGATAATGTAGGCCATAAACACTTAACTGGGTTCTTGGTTTTTTGTATAATAAAAGGAGGGTTTGGGGCACAGCCAATTTATCGTCCAATTTGAAAATAAAATTGGAAGAGTGTGGTAACTTCTAAAATGCATTTTTTTTTACTTTTGGTGTAGTATGTCACATCGGTTACCGGAAATTTTATCGAAAGAAATTTCATCGACGGTAAATTGATCGACGGAAATTTGATCAAACGGAAATTCGGTCGAATCTTTTTTTCAGTTGACACGTTAAAATTTTCGTCAAATTTCTTTTTGAAGGCACAATACTATATAGTAAAACAAAATAATGCGTTCAAAAAGAAATTTGAAGCAAAATTGTAACGTAAAAACTGAAAAAAAGATTCGACCAAATTTCCGTCGATCATTTTACCGTCGACGAAATTTCTTTCGATCAAATTTCCGAATACGATGTCACATCAGCTACTCTAACGAACATTAGAGAGCAATTTACCCATAGACTGTCCACTTGTAACATGATTTAGAAAAGAAATAGTTACAAATGAAATGTTGTTCGTCTGTCAAATTCGACTAGGACCATCGAGTCATTCGGTTAGGGGGGGGGGGAGTTGTGTGACGGTGAGCTCGTAAGTGGCTTGCTAGACCGATCCGTGCTGGGAATAATCTCTGGCACCTCAGGCAGGGGATAGTTGATGCAGACGATGATCTAATGTTGCTCTTTCGGGCCAGCCTGCGTGTCTCAGCTGTGGTTATTCTATTAGCGTAATGGGATTTGGCCCCCTTCTTGACAGCAGCTCTCCACCTGGCTCTGTCCTGGGCTGTCTGCACCCATTGAATAAGATTGATGCTCAACGCCTTAAGTGCCGCTTTCAGTGTGTCTTTGTGTCTTTTTGGGGAGCCGGTGGTATTCCATACGGGCTACGTGTCCCATCCAACGGAGCTGAGACTGCATCAGGGTTGTGAAGATACTCGGTAAGTTCGCTATAAAGAGGACCTCTGTGTCAGGAGCTTTGTCTTGTCACCGACATTAATATCTGCTGAAGCGTGACTGAGCAGGACGCTCTTGCACGACCGCTCACGAAGAGCGGCGTCCAAGACCCCGGTCCGACGTATTCGTAACCGTTAAAGTCAAAACCAGGATCAGGGACCCCCCCGTTGAGAAGCAACGGACGCGGATTGGCCTGGCTCGTGAAACCCCCCACGTGTCCGGGGGCCACATGTACAAATTGGCCCGGTTGTGAAACCGACCAGGCCGGGCAGAAGACTATTTCGAGCAAAATCTTCCCGCCGCCGCGGCGCAGCCAATGCTCCGGCCAGACGTATATCCAAGTTAGAAGCTGCCACAGTCAAAACTGTTGGAAACAGCAGGGCATGTGCCACAAAACCAGCCTTTCACCTTCCGTGGGACTTCGACTCTCTCCGTTAGCAACCGGCACCAGTGTCCTGAGCGCAGGCACAGGCCAGCGCAATGGGGCATGGAACACCGAGACACGACAAGGGATCCACCCCACCGGCCAGGAACAGGAGGCAACGACCCCCGGGACGCCCGCGGGTCACCCCCCCGCGGCGCCAGGATCCCGCAGGATCTAGACTTTAGTCCATGAACGATCGCCACACTCTTTGCCGAAGACGAAACCACACTCTACCACTACCTCACCGTCTTCGCCGGGTATGGCGAGCAAGCCATATCATGCCCGGCTCTGGTGACTTCGTCGCTCTTCTCGGTGCCTAACCACCTTGTCGCTTCTTAAACATGGCACCGGAAGAAATCATCATATCCATAATTTGAGCTTTCAAGGGCGAGGGGAGCGCCCCCCGCCCTTGACCCCATTCTGTCCACCTGTGCTTATTCGGTCTGGCCACACCGGACCAGGCCTTATTGAAACACATAACCGTTGTCCGGGGGGAACGACCCCGGTCACCGGCCGTCCCGATATCCGCAGCCCTCGGAGGCGTGGAATCCCGCAGGGGCCGCCGGGCGGGCTCGTCTGGTGGCCAGGTCCGGCGAGCCGACACCGCCACCGACAGAGGCGACTGCCGGTAGCGGCCAATTCGTCAGACCACAGCCCCGACTCAAATCCCCCGATTGAGCGCTGGGCTGCTGGCACCAGACTTGCCCTCTTGTCACCTGATGGCGTGGAGTTTCCTGGGGCAAGTTGTGTCAAAATTGTTCAGTTTCTTGGCGCGACGCTGGTAGACTGTCCACGTTTCACATCCGTGGAGTAATGTCGACGGGACTGCAGCACTATAGACCTTGATCTTCATTTCCCGTCTGATAACTCAAACAGTGCTGCGGAGCCTGCCAACTATGGAACTAGCTTTTACGAGTCTGGCATTCATTTCATCATCAATGACAACAGATCTGGAGAGGATTCTGTGGAAAATCATGAAGAAGTACGGACGTCCAGACAAGTTCACAAAATCATCCGTCAGTTGCATGATGGCATGATGGCCCGAGTGCAGGACAACGGTCAGTCACCTCAAGCATTCCCTGTCACAAATTGTGTGAAGCAAGGCTGTGTCCTGGCTCCCACACTCTTCAGTATTATGTATTCTACAATGCTGTCTGATGCGTTCAAGGACTCCACCACAGGCTTGCCAATCCGTTTTCGCACTGATGGATCAGCCTTCAACCTTAGGAAGCTTCAAGCTAAAACCAAAATCAAACATAACACCATCAACGAGCTTCTTTTTGCGGACGCGCACAACGCTGCCTCAGAAGCCGTCATGCAACACAGCGCTGTTATCTTCTCTGTGGCCTGCAGGAATTTTGGCCTCACAATCAAAACAAAGAAGACTGAGGTGATGTATCAGACACCTCCCAGCTAAGCCCTATGTTGAGCCCAACATCATCATCAGCGGACAAGGTATCAACCCGCTGGATAAATTTACTTACTTGGGCAGCACCCTCTCTAGCTCTGTCGTCATGGATGATGAAATAAATGCAAGACTCGCACAAATGAAATACTTAAGAATACAACAACATATATAAACAGTCACACGTAAAACAAGACAGGAGTAATTAACCAAGGATACTACACGCCCCGGGAGTAGGAGGTAGTGCCAGGGGTGCGGGAGGCAGTGTCAAGGGGGCAGGAGGCAGTGTCAGGGGTGTGGGAGGCAGAGTCAAGGGGGAAGGAGGTAGTGTGAGGGGTGCGGGAGGCAGTGTCAAGGGGGAAGGAGGCAGTGTCAAGGGGGAAGGAGGCTGTGTCAGGGGTGTGGGAGGAAAACTAAGGGGTTCGGAACTGCAAAAATATTGAGAATCTGTGATATGGGTATAGGAGACTAATGTTTCAATTCTTTAAAGATAGTAAATGAGAATTATGTATTGATTCATTCACCTTTCTGAAACAGATTACCATTGAGAAGACACCCTCATATCTATGGAGCCAAAGAGCCGTGGAAGAAATCTACAAGCTAGACAAAAAAATGAAGCTGATGATTATCATCAAAGACCCGGTGACAAGAGCCATGTCTCAGGCAACAAGGGTGAGTTTTTATTATCATCAAAGATCCGGTGACAGGAGCCATGCCTCAGGCGACCATGGTGAGGCTGCTCAAATATTTGAGCTGTTAGAGTAAGAAAGGAAATACTATAAGTATATCAGTGTCAAGCTAAAAGTTTGGTGGCTGCATTATATTTTTTAGAACATTTTAATTATATACATCAATTTGATGCTATTTCAGCCAAATGAAGTTTCAGTCAATTGCGTAACCCATTGTACTGCCTATATGTCTTCCCCATTTTGTACACAACGTAATGACTCATTGAACATACATCATCATGTCCCTTAGTCTTTTAACCGTTGGGGGCCACAGATGACATGTAAACCATCCTCCTCCATTCGTCTCTGTCTTCTGCACTACGCACAGCATCGCCCAGTTTTAGTCCTGTCCACTCTTTGATGTTATTTTCCTATGCTTTTCTTTGTCTTCCTCTTCTTCTCCCTCCTCTTGTGGTGCCCTGCAATATATCTTTGGCGAGCCCTTGTTTCCATGTCACGTGGTCATACCATTCCAGTTTGCGCTTTTTCACAGTCACCAGGAGGTCATCGTACTGCCCAATTGACTGACGAATCCTTTCTTTCACTTTTATCATTGGAGATATGGTCCCTATAGCAGATGCCAAAAATACGTCTGAAACATCTCATCTCCATCGCCTTTATTTTCATTTCAAGTTCTGTTGTTAATGTCCAGGACTCGCCACACACAAAAACATGGAGAGGACCAATGAGCGCATCAGCCTGATTTTGGTGCGGGGGCAATATTTTTGTCGTTCCATATTTTCTTGAGCCTCTTTAATTCTGTTGTGGTTTGGGCAATCCTGGACATTGATTCAGGCTCGGAGCCTTCTTCCAAGACAATTGCTCCTAGGTATTTGAAGCTGCTTACTGTCTCTAATCTTTTCTCCCCGACCTTAATGTCAGTGGCGATGTCGGTGGTGTTATTCGTCACTAGTTTTGTCTCTTCTGCACTGATTTGATGCCAATGGACGATGAAAACGATGAAAACAATTGAACAAATCATTTTAACTCCAGATGTTATTTTCTGTCTTTTTCATGTGAATGTAGATATTAAGTTGACCGCAGGATGAAAGGAAAATGTGTTGTGAAAAAGACGTTTTTAAAGTTGAGACAGGGAGAACAGAGGTTTTAAAGTTGAGACAGGGAGAACAGAGGTTTTAAAGTTGAGACAGGGAGAACAGAGGTTTTAAAGTTGAGACAGGGAGAACAGAGGTTTTAAAGTTGAGACAGGGAGAACAGAGGTTTTAAAGTTGAGACAGGGAGAACAGAGGTTTTAAAGTTGAGACAGGGAGAACAGAGGTTTTAAAGTTGAGACAGGGAGAACAGAGGTTTTAAAGTTGAGACAGGGAGAACAGAGGTTTTAAAGTTGAGACAGGGAGAACAGAGGTTTTAAAGTTGAGACAGGGAGAACAGAGGTTTTAAAGTTGAGACAGGGAGAACAGAGGTTTTAAAGTTGAGACAGGGAGAACAGAGGTTTTAAAGTTGAGACAGGGAGAACAGAGGTTTTAAAGTNTGTATATGAGAGAGTATATATATATATATATATATATATATATATATATATATATATATGTATATTAAAGTAGTTGACTAACTTATTGATTAGAGTACATCTTTATTTTTTGTACTGCTATAAATAAATATTTTCCATTGAGGATATGGATAGCTTTGACTTGTTTTATCAGGGAGAAAGATCAGAACGTAGGTGATATGTACTCTGCAATTAGTCCTTAGAGTTTTTGTTTAAGTGTAAAAAGAACTATACAATAGACAAGAGACGGTAGACACTAAACAAGAGACACCAGATGTCGCCAAAATTGAAACAATTCCCTTGTCTTATTCCAGACTAAACCTGAACATCCAGAGTCAATGTTTGTGGAGAATGTGGCCGGAACTCTTAGGGTTGTGAATGAATCTCGCACTGTAGATTGGGGTGTCTACGTAAAATATATAAAAATGTGGTTGCAGTGGTTCCCCATGTCTCAGGTAAACTAAACTTATTTATGTACGTATAGGAACAAAGTGGACAAAGATAAAACTTTGAGATAAAGAACTCTTAATTCGCAAAACCTTTAAAATGCTTAAGAAAAGACCGACCTTGACCTTGTCGGTCTAACGCATTCTTCAGCGAAAAACATGGTGTGAATATTTTTCTAAATGTAAAATTCTTAAAACAAAAATAAATTTTGGACTAAGGCGCTTAAGTTATTAAAAGGTACTACGATTTAGAGTAATCAATTTATCAGTTTCTTAAAAACACTTACAAATCTATTGTAAGTAAATATGGATTTATTTAATCCAACATTTCTTATAATTTAGTCTGGAAAAAGAATTGCAAAAAATTTTATAAATTTGTGTACATTTTCAGAAACGATATCAGAAATTATTTCTAATTAATCTTGATTGTTGTTTTTCTTCTTTTGCTATGTTACGGTTGCATTTTAAAAAATGTTTGTGGTGTAAATAGGAGGATATCAACATTTCAATATCAAATACAGACATTTTTAACACAGAAATATCTTAACTAATATTTAAATTTTATTTCTGTAAACGCTAAACAAAAAATAAATGTATTTAGTTGTTGTTTTTTTCATTAATACATCTAAATAGATGTCAAAATTAAAATGTTCTAAAAAAATAAAACAAACCATCGAAAATATTTAAGCTATGCTCTCATCCTGCAGATTTACGTCATAGAAAGCCGACAGTTTGTTTACAATCCAGCGGCGGAGATTCAACAAATTGAACGCTTCCTGGGATTGCCCCCGATGATCACGGAAAGAAATTTTTACTACAATCGAAGTAAAGGATTCTACTGCATGAGGCCTTTCCACGTGAGGACCATCCAGTGCCTGGCTCCAGGGAAGGGGCTTCCCCACCCGACGCTGGAGCCCAGGGTTCGAGACATGCTGTACAACTACTACCACGAGCACAACGAGGCGTTATTTAACCTTCTGGGCCGTAGGTTTGAGTGGAAATCGAGAGCAAGGTTGTGAGCGTTCGAAAGAGAGAGAGAGAGAGAGAGAGAAAAGGAGGGATAGAGAGAGAGAACGAGAGAGAGAAAGAGAGAGAGAGAGAGACATGCTGTACAACTATTACCACGAGCACAACGAGTAGTTATTTTAGTTGCTGGGAAGTAGAATCGATTGGAAATATAGTACAAGCGTGTGAGCGTTCAAGAGACAGAAAGAGAGAGAGAAGAGAGAGAAAAGGGGGGAGAGAGAGAGAGAGAACGAGAGAGAGAAAGAGAGAGAGAGAGAAAGAGAGAGAGAGAGAGCTGCTTGTGCAAGAATATTTTGTGGGATTATAGTTTTCAAACACATCAAATTATGTTGTTTTTTTCTTTGTGGGTGGATAATTTGAAGTATGATTCACAGTAGTGTGCTGTAAACATAGAAAAATCAGGCAATTACCCCTGACGAATAAATCGAGTAACGTATTTTGATTGAAGTTTCTCATTTTGTAGGCCGCCCCAGCCTAAATTTATCGCAGATGTCATTAGTACATATGGCATGGTATCATTCAAACGGAAGGATTTTTTTGTTTGAAGTTTTTTTTTTATATTACTCAATCTTGAATACATATTAATTAGAAATCAGTAGAGATTCTCGTCCAGTCACCAGGCATGATGCGAGATTACAAATAATGTCCGGAGGTAATCGCGGAAGACAACCACGCAAATGAATGTGTAGACTTTCTTTTTAGTTTTATCCCCCCTGTTTCTGTTTCAAATTATCAGCTTACACAATTATACTTAATCACCGAATAAATAGAATCATTTTTAAAGATTTGAGGTGCGCATTTAAGAGAGCGACTTTAATTGAAACTGGAATCAGTGGTATGTAAAATGTTGCTTTAAGATTTATTGGTAGTACTTTTTTTTAGCTAAATGAGAGAAATTATTTAAAAATATGATATTTTTAAATCTTAGGCTTGACCGGTGATTCTCATATTTGTATGCCAAGTGCACAACCATTGATTTAAAGGTGATGATAAATATTCCTTAAATTTCACTTAGTAGTGAATATTTTTTTTTAAAAATAATCCACAGCTTTCTAATTATAGAACCCCTTAAGGGATTCCTTTCACCTCTGATAGAATATGGTTATAGATATTATAAAATTAAAGTATATATATGAATTTCATATTTAATATTTAAGCCAACACTTTACTCACTGATTCAGCAAGTGCTGGTGTAAAAGAACAAAATATTTTAGGCTGAGAATGTATGGGGACGGAATAATTTCAAGTTTCTGGAGTTTAAAGTAAAAAAAAAAAAAAATTCTTGTAGTCACTTAATTTTCGGGCGAAAGTTAAATAATTCATCATTCACCTTGTGATGTGGGAAAAAAATTAATGGAAAATATTTTCAATTGCATTAAGACAAGATTAGATAAGATAAGATATTTTTATTGATCCAAATAAATGGAAATTTGTTTTTTTACATTCATCGTACATATTTCGCTTAGCCTTTAAAATATTTTTTTTTGTTTCCCGTTGTTCCTGTAGCAAGACATTGGCCGTGTAAGTGTGCGGTATGGAGAACTCTTGAGTTCTTGAGTGAGAACGGTCTTGAATTTTGGTTTGAACGGAGGTTTTCTTCTCCAAGACTACGGGAACGCCTCTTGTCTGTATTCGATTTGTCTTCAAATAGTTGGTGTGAACTTGCCATTTTAAAATAGCTAATGAACAAAAATTTAAAGGGGTGTGGAGCCTCCATAAGTCACATGAAAGCATTAAAATTATTTCATTGTTTATTTTTAACTTTAAAATCAATATTTGGCAATATGAAATAGTCAATTTACAGGATTTATGTTAGGCAAAGCTTATCGATCTCAACTCGTCATCATCTTATTGAGGTTTGAAATAACGATTGACTACTGAGGTCGTTTAAGTGCGACACCCAAACAATGGATTTTAAAATGGTAAAATTTATTTTTTCAAAAAATGTTTTTTAAAATTAACAAAAATAGTTTTATGTTTATTTTCATCAATATTCCAATCGAATCCTTTGACTCCATGGGGTTCTTATCTACACTTCCACATGTCTTCATTTGGGTAAAGCATTTTAAGCAAATTTAGATCATGTTCCACTTTTTAGAAATTTTTAACTCTTTTAAATCTCTTTTATGAATCTCTTCTATATTCTTTTGCTTCTGGATTGTCCGGTGTCCCCCCCCCCCACCCCACGCCAACTCTACATGTTTTATAATAATAGCACTGAGTAAAAAGAAAAGCTTCATGAGTGCCGCCTTAATTCCGGTAAAAAGCCTGATTTTTTTGTTTATTCTTATAAACGATTAAAAATCGCTTTAACTGTCACTGTTGTTGTTTTTTTTTTCCACTCTGTGTTATGGAACGGCACACCACAATAAACGGGATCATGGTGCATCCGTTTAACTTTGTTTGTACTTTTCAATCTTTTCCGGAGCTTCCTTCAACGTGGTATATTTCATAATATACCAGAAACCGGTTGTAAAAAAACTACGTTTATTTTAAATAATGGAAGTTGCTTCCCTTTACCATTTAAATTTTATTAAATAAAAATACAAAAATTATTTCCTTTAAAACATTAAGAGATACTGATTTATAAATAAATAAATAAATAATATAAATAAATGAAGAGTACAATTGTAAACCCTGCTAAGTAACTTTAGATTGATTTTGATAAAAACACATTTTTCTAAAACACAATGATGCGCTAATCCTAGGATTCTGGTTTTTGTTCCAGTTGTAAGATTAGCTGTAAATGATATATTTTTTAACATAAAATATAGTTAAATGGGCATTTTTGCATTTATAATGCATTATAAAGTTATTACTTAGCAGGTTTTGAAAATGGTTTACATACTTAGCAGCTTTTGAACGAGTTTAAAAATATAC